GCTAGCGTTCACCACCAGCCAGTGCAGTGTTTGATGGCCACTGTGATCCGGGTAATCTGGTCGCTCTAGTTTATCATTGTTCACGTCGTGACTGTCGGCGTCCAACATAATTAAGGTGTAGAGTTGGCCCGACTCTGTTGGCCAGTCTACGTTGGGCGGGGATTTCACCTGGGTTGGTGTCAGCTCGTTGCCCAGCTCGGCCTTGCAACCACTTGTGTATATGACCTAGATGGAAATAAACATAATTGATTTAATATATTTATTGTAATAAATAATTTTAATAAAGCAACTTTCTATTACTAAGCCAAGAAAAAAAGTGCGTTTTAGTGCTTTCTACACAGAAAATTATAATTTTAGATACGAGTAATGTTTGATTCATTAAATGACTCAATGCTTTATTAAACACAACTTTAATATTTCTAATAAAATAGTTTATTTTTTCTGTGAAGAAAGCACTAAAACGCACTTTTTTCTTGGCTTATCTATTACTAATAAAAATATTATAAATACTGCACTCTTAAATAACAGAACAATAAATTCATATAAATTACTCATTGTTATCAATAGTATCTAGATAATTGTTTTATATTGTATAAAGTGCACTGTGCATTGTATAAAACACAATATCAAAATGTTAGTTAAAGTCCTAAATATTGTCTCAAAGAATTTATACATGATAGCATATCATTAATAAGATTACAATATACCCTTATGCAATGAGAACTCAACTACTGTACTGTACTTAATGGTGAGTACGAATGGGTATTGTAATGTACAATGTTGTCAATCACATATATGTATAATTATTTATTTAGCTGAATAATTATTATAATAATTAATCATTATTAATTCTAATTTATAAGGTAGATTTATTAATAATATTTAACAATGGCTTATAAGTTAGCTATACTTAACAGCACATTATTTAACAAAACATGATAACTTCTTGATATGATTTTATAATAAAACTATAATACTTTTAAACAAAATTAATTATGCTCATATTAAATGTAATGTAAAATATTATATATTTTAAGAATGACATAATGAAACTCAAAAACTCTAGTATAGTAACATAAGATTAAGTACAATAATAATTTTATATTTAATTTTTCAATTACATTCTAAATAAGGTTAATCTGACATTGCTCAATTAAAAAATGGCTGCTTACTTTCATTATGTTAGAAGGCATTGTGTCGATAACATCGGGCACAATTGAGCTGGTTTCCATTTTTATCTAGGTGTTTTTGTAATTATATTAAACAGCTCGGACACAATAACTCAAACATAAAACTAAATACACTAAGTTAATGTGACATTATTTATTATTTTTAATGAAAACTTCATACAGTACTTTAAGTTAGTGTTTTATCTCGTATATTATCGCAATTGTATTTTATATACAATACATAGGTATGAAGGGTGACCAGGGTGTTTACATAATTATAGTTATAATAAATATGATAAATTTAAACTTATAAATTAAATTTGAGAATTTTTTTATTGATTCTGTGTTAAGTCTATCACAGTTTAAATTTGTTTAATTAAAACTCTAACATCATACATTTGAATATAACGCCTGCTTTACCTTGTTAATTACTTTATCTTATAAGTAATGTAGTATTAATTTCATATTTCGCCAATATAAAAAGTATCTCTTCTTTACCATATGTCCAAGGTTTATTTGTTTTGAATGATTATTTCAACATTTTTTAAAATTATAAGTACCGGTAAAGTGAATTCACTTTACATGAATTCAGTGCTTAAGTAAACTGAAACTAACAATGAGATATTTTACTACCACATAAAAAATATCAAGATGACATGTGGAAATTCATTATCTAACTCGTGCAATTAAAACATATTTGAATTTATTGTAAATAATATGCATGATGAATCTAATAAAAATTATTTGTTAATTCAGTTGTATTCTAACATTATACACGTCTAATAATTATAATATAAAATTAATATTGCTAAATAGGGAATATTCTGGGACATATTACTAATATTCAATAAACTTATTCAACTTACTATAAAATTAATCATTAATTTATACATTACATAATTTTGACAATTGTGTAGATTAAATATGATCATATAGAGAATAATTCAATAATTTATCATGTCAAAATAATATTTTCCATTCATTTTGTTGTTATCTTACTTTTTGCAAAATAGTACATATCAATTAGTATGTGAACATAAAACACCATGTTTACAAATTACTAAATAATGATTGCAATACTATTATTAATTAAGTGCATGGTCACAATGGATTAAATGTATTTACCATTACTTTATACTACCATTAAGAAGTTGGAATAACAAATCTATACATCATAATTACATAAATATTACAATAATGACACAATGAACTAGTAAATTCCCCAAAATCAACCTTGGCATTCACTTTTAAGTACTCAATCATACTGACTCGTGAGCAAAACAATACCGGTAAATGACATTGAAAATTGTGATCTAGAAATAAACAACATATAAAAATAAAAATTTTAATTATATTAATGATATCACTATTTATTTCCTCATAAATGATTTATGTAGAATTAAATCATAAATGATTAAAAAGTAATTAGAATAAACAATAAGTGAATCCCCTTATCAATTACTAACAAGTAAGTTTAATAAAACAAAAGTTACTCCAACCATAATGTTAACAAATGTTAGTATAAATTGCTAAATAAATTCACTAAAACAATCATTCATAATAACTTATTGCTAGAATTATACGCAAATTAATTTATCATCTTATAAATAATAAACATGTTAATTTCTATAATAATACTATTGTGGGCCACAATTGATAGGCTATGTATGGCCCAGAAGTACCGGTGCGATAGGGAAGAGACGAACGCCGACCTAAGAATAAAGGAGATGTTTCTGTTTGCCGCCGACCAGCAGGACTTCCCCACCAACGAGGTCCAAATGAAGGCATTTTGCAAGTAAATATTCACCATATTGATTAATATCAAGCCTAATTGTATTCTATGCATTACAATTTATGATAATGATAATTTAAATGCATGTTTACCCGACACATAGGGACTCAAAACGACGCGATACTGAAATGAAAACATACGCCGAGAAATGTCTGAACAGTAATACCAAAAGTGTTACAAATTTATTGACTTATTCTGTGAGCAAAAACACTGCCAACACATGTAAGTCCCGGCGCCGGTCGCAGGACTTTCAACGGGTGGGCGCGTGCGGTAACGCCGCCCGAAAGGGTGCGCGCAAGTGTTGGAACAATTGGATCGACACCACGTACACCATAACCCGTATAAGCAATCATAAGCTTAAGATACCGTTATCATGTTGGTCAGTCTAATTTTTGAAAATATTATTGTTATTTTAAAAATTTAAAAATGCATTTATGTAAAGCATTTATTTTATATAAATATTTTTATACATTTAAGTATTGCATAAAACGTTTATTGCCAAAAGTTAACATTAACATCACATTATTTAAATATTAAAATTTGTGGTCAATTATTTGATTACAGTTTGTAGTGTTTTCTAGATTTTAAAATGAGAGAGAGAGAGAGAGAGAGAGAGAGAGAGAG